TCCCATGGAATTTTGGGAATTTTGGGAATTCCCATTCCCAGATTCCCATTTTCTCATGGAATTCCGGGAATTCCCGCTCCCTGATTCCCGTTTTCCCGCCCAGGATGGTGCAGCAGTTCGGGGTGGATTTCGAGAAGCGGATCGAGGGATCCGGGGATCAGGTGGACACCCTGGAGCTCTCCGGGGGCGCTCGGATCAATCGCATTTTCCACGAGAGATTTCCCTTCGAGCTCGTCAAGGTCAGCCCGGCAATCCCGGGAACGAATCCTGGGAATGCCAGGAATCCTCCCGAGGCGCGGAGCGTTCCCGGGATTCCGGGAGAGTCCTGGGATTTTCATTCCGGGAATTCCGGGAGAGTCCCGATATTTTCATTCCCAGAATCCCGGGATTTTCATTCCTGGAATTCCAGGGATTTTCATTCCAGGAATTCCAGGAGAATCCCAGGATTTTCATTCCCAGAATTCCGGGATTTTCATTCTGGGAATTTCGGGATTTTCATTCCGGGAATTCTGGGAGAATCCCGGGATTTTCATTCCAGGAATTCCGGGAGAATCCCGATATTTTCCTTCCTGGAATTCCGAGATTTTCATTCTGGGAATTTTGGGATTTTCATTCCGGGAACCCCGGGATTTTCATTCCTGGAATTCCAGGGATTTTCATTCCAGGAATTTCAGGAGAATCCCGGGATTTTCGTTCCAGGAATTCCGGGAGAATCCCGGGATTTTCATTTCCGGAATCCTGGGATTTTAGTTCGTGGAATTCTGGGAGAATCCTGGGATTTTCATTCCTGGAATAATCCTGGGATTTTCATTCCTGGAATCCTGGGATTTTCATTCCTGGAATTCCGGGAGAGTCCCGGGATTTTCATTCCCAAAGTCCTGGGATTTTCATTCCGGGAGAATCCCGATGTTTTCATTCCTGGAATTCCAGGGATTTTCATTCTGGGAATTCTGGGAGAGTCCCGGGATTTTCATTCCAGGAATTTCAGGAGAATCCCGGGATTTTCGTTCCCAGAATCCCGGGATTTTCATTCCGGGAATCCCGATATCTTCATTCCCAGAATTTCGGGATTTTCATTCCTGGAATTCCGGGAGAATCCCGGGATTTTCGTTCCTGGAATTCCAGGGATTTTCGTTCCGGGAATTCCAGGGATTTTCATTCCCAGAGTCCCGGGATTTTCATTCTGGAAATTTCAGGACAATCCCGGGATTTTCATTCCGGGAATTTCGGGAGAATCCCGGTGATTCCCGGAGTTTCCCATTCCCCGTGATTCCCAGTGATTCCCAGTGTTTCTCATTCCCGGTGTTTCCCGGTGATTCCCGGTGATTCCCTGTGATCCGTTCCCGGTGTTTGCATGTGATTGATTCCCGGTGTTTCCCGGTGATCCATTCCCGGTGTTTCCCGGAGATTCCCGGTGATCCATTCCCGGTGTTTCCCGGTGTTTCTCATTCCCGGTGTTTCCCGGTGTTTCCCGGTGTTTCCCGGTGGTTGATTCCCGGTGTTTCCCGGTGTTTCCCATTCCCGGTGTTTCCGTTTCCCGGCAGATGGAATTTGACGAGAAGGATTTGCGGCGGGAGATCAGCTACGCCATCAAGAACATCCACGGGGTGAGGCAAGTATTCGGCATTCCCGGGAATTCCCCGGATCCTCCCCCGGATCCTCCCCTGGATCCATCCCGGATCATTCCCGGGAATTCCCCGGATCCATCCCTGGATCCATCCCCGGATCCTTCCCGGGCCGGCGTTCCCGAGATCCTCCTCTGGATCCTCCTCTGGATCCATCCCTGGATCATTCCCGGGAATTCCCTGGATCCATCCCCAGATCCATCCCTGGATCCTTCCCTGGATCCTTCCCTGCCCAGAATTCCTGGGAATTCCCCGGATCCTCCCCTGGATCCTTCCCGGGAATTCCAGCGCCTGCAGGAGGGATTTTCCCTGCTCAGCTTCTCCAGGAGCTGGGAATTCCTGGGAATTCCTGGGAATTCCTGGGATTGGGAATTCCTGGGAATTGGGAATTCCTGGGATTGGGAATTGGGAATTCCTGGGATGGGGAATTGGGAATTCCTGGGATGGGGAATTGGGAATTCCTGGGAATTCCTGGGAATTGGGAATTCCTCCCTGGGATCGATCCTGCTCTGATCCCGCTGTTTTCCAACTGTTTCCGGCTGTTTCCCGCCATTTTCCCACCATTTTCCGACTGTTTCCTGCTGTTTCCCGGCCATTTCCCCGCTGTTTCCGACTGTTCCCCGCTGTTTCCCCGCCATTCTCCGACTGTTTCCGACTGTTTCCTGCCGTTTTCTGGCTGTTTCCATCTGTTTTCCCACCATTTTCTGACTGTTTCCCCCTGTTCTCTGACTGTTTCCGGCTGTTTCCCACTGTTTTCCGACTGTTTTCCTGCCGTTTCCGCGCTGTTCTCCAACTGTTTCCGGTTGTTTCCCACCGTTTTCCTGCCATTTTCCGACTGTTTTCTGGCTGTTTCCCGCTGTTTTCCGACTGTTTTCCCAACGTTTCCCGACTGTTTTCCGACTGTTTCCCCCGCTATTTTCCAGCTGTTTTCCGACCGTTTTCCCGTCGTTTTCCGACCGTTTTCCCACCCTTTTCCGACTGTTTTCCCGCCGTTTTCTGGCCGTTTTCCCGCCCTTTTCGAACTGTTTTTCCTGCCGTTTTCCGGCCGTTTTCCCGCCATTTTCCGGCCGTTTTCCCGCCATTTTCCGACTGTTTTCCCGCTGTTTTCCGACCGTTTTCCCACCGTTTTCCGACCGTTTTCCCGCCATTCTCCGACTGTTTTCCCGCCATTTTCCAACTGTTTTCCCGCCATTTTCCGGCCGCTTTCCCGCCATTTTCCGGCCGTTTCCCCACCGTTTTCCCACCATTTTCCGACTGTTTTCCCGCCATTTTCCCGCCATTTTCCCGCCGTTTTCCGACTGTTTTCCCACCTTTTTCCGGCCGTTTTCCCGCCTTTTTCTGACTGTTTTCCCGCCCTTTTCCGACTGTTTTCCCGCCCTTTTCCGACTGTTTTGCCGCCATTTTCCGTCTGTTTTCCCGCCGTTTTCTGACTGTTTTGCCGCCGTTTTCCATCTGTTTTCCTGCCGTTTTCCGGCAGTTTTCCCTCCGTTTTCCCACCATTTTCCGGCCGTTTCCCCGCCCTTTTCGGGCCGTTTTCCCGCCGTTTTCCGGCCGTTTTCCCGCCATTTTCCAACTGTTTCCCCACCCTTTTCCGACTGTTTTCCCGCCCTTTTCGGGCCGTTTTCCCGCCATTTTCTGACTGCTTTCCCGCCATTTTCCGACCGTTTTCCCGCCCTTTTCCGACTGTTTTCCCGCCATTTTCCGACTGTTTTCCCGCCATTTTCCCGCCCTTTTCTGACTGTTTTCCCGCCATTTTCCGTCTGTTTTCCCTGCCGTTTTCCCGCCCTTTTCCGACTGTTTTCCCGCCCTTTTCCGGCCGTTTTCTGGCCGTTTTCCCGCCCTTTTCCGGCCGTTTTCCCGCCCTTTTCCGACCCTTTTCCCGCCCTTTTCCGGCCGTTTTCCCGCCCTTTTCCGAGCGTTTCCCCGCCCTTTTCCGAGCGTTTCCGGGCTGTTCCCGCTCAGGACGGGGCTGTTCACGCCGGACCTGGCGTTCGAGGCCATCGTCAAGAAGCAGCTGGTGAAGCTGAAGGAGCCGTGCCTGAAATGCGTGGATTTGGTGATCCAGGAGCTGATCAACACCGTGCGGCAGTGCACCAGTAAGGTACTGCTCAGACTGGGGTCAAACTGGGGTCAAACTGGAGTCAAACTGGGGTCAGACTGGTCAGCCCGGTGCACCAGTAAGGTACTGCTCAGACCGGGGTCAAACTGGGGTCAGACCGGGGTCAAACTGGGGTCAGACTGGGAGGGACTGGTGAGCCCAGTGCACCAGTAAGGTACTGCTCAGACCGGGGTCAGACTGGGGTCAAACTGGGGTCAGACTGGGGTCAGACCGGGGTCAGACTGGGGTCAGACTGGGGTCAGACTGGGAGTCAAACTGGGGTCAGACCGGGGTCAGAAACTGGGGTCAAACCGGGGTCAGACCGGGGTCAGACTGGGGTGGGACTGGTG